GGTAGTTCCTCTCAGTTACCTTTCCCCTGGTCACTCTCTACCAGTCCTCCCATCCCCTCCCTGCCATTGGTTTTGAACCACTCATTGTTCCCTTGTCCCTGGGTTGGCCAACACCTCCTCCCTTCCCCTACCTCCCACACTCTCATGTCCCTCCAGGGCCGTTGTTCCCTTTATTTTCTTCTCACATTTTTTTTTAGTCTAACCTCTCTTATATAAGTGGACCTGCAGATATATATTAATATGTGCATAAAATTTGGCATGGCTTTGACAGCACAGTACCAAAATGGCACATAAGAACATGGCGATGACGGCAGCAGCACTAAGCTAAGAAACAATAAAGCCACTGACATACAAAATTTAGAAAAGAGAAAAAAGGAAAAAGACAAAACAGGCAGGAAAAAAAAGCCTATTAGTAGTTCAAGGTCTGTTTGTTGACCTTTAGGAGTGTTTTGCGGAGGAGTCTAATGGGGTGCCACGTCCTGGCCCCAAAGTACATCGTTAGTACTCCCTCGGGACCTCCTTGCTCTGCTTCCCTGCCGCTCCTTTGCACTCCCCCAATGTTTTCCTTCGTGTGGTGGGGTCAGCTCAGTCGCACATCCCACACTGTCTCCGGTGCTGTCCCGTGTAGGGCCGTGGGTCAGTGCAGGATATCACAAGCGATCTTCTGTAGCAGCGTTTCCCCTTGATTTCTTGACAGCCGTTTCCATGGGCATTGATTCTGGACCCATAGAGAATGAAATCCTTGACAACTTCAATCTTTTCTCTATTATTACGTTTCTTATCAGTCCGATTGTGGGGATTTTAGCTTTATGTTAATACTGGAGGCTGCCATCTTTTATTTTCACCAATAAGTGCTTCAATTCCTCCTTACCTTCAGAAAAAAGCTGTGTCATTTGGATATTGCTGGTTATTAATGAATCCCTCCTGTCCCAATTCCATATTCTAAATTCTATGGACTTATTTATCTAAAATAGGATATTAAGATGTCTGGAGGATTTCTTTGTTAAGTTTTACACATTTTATATATGAATGTTCAGCAAGTATAAATGGTAATGTCGGAACAATATCGTGATCTGTGTAAAAGAATAGTAAAATTCATAATGAAGGTTTAATACGTAAAGCTTCTTTAATTTTAATCATCAGCATGAAATATAGGTAAGTATAGATGAGTCATAATAATATTCTGAATGAGAATTTGGGAAAAACCTTACATGAATTATAAAAGGTGCAAAATTAAAACAGAAAAACAGATTTTTTAAAAATTCATGTCACATGCTATTTTAATTCTATTAGTTTCTACTCAGTAAATTATGCTTTTCTACGTTTATGTATCTTATGTTTAGAATAAAATAACACAACTTACAAATCATATATAGCATCATGAACATTATGATTCAAACATAATTCTATAAACATAATGAACTACCACCACAGAGACTAGTACATATGTCCCATGATCCAGTGAAAATAGATAGATATTACAACTCATGTATACTTTTATATCATGTATCTATTCCTTTCTTCCTTATGTTTCAACTTTCTTTTCCTGTCCTTAACTATAGCTGCCATGTTTATATTGCATACATCAAATGATATCTCATTTTTCAGTTTCATTCTTATTTCAGATTTTAAAATTTTATTTAATGTATGCTATCCCATCTATTTCTGGCTTGTCATTCCTGAAAACGTGTGCTTTGAGGACATTCGGAATATAGTTCATTTTGGCAAAGACAGGGCTGACAGCTTCAGGGTCTTCTTAATAACTATAATACATGACTCAGAATTTATTGGTTAAAAAAAAATCCTGCTGAGCTGTATTCTAGCATCACTCACAAGTCCTGACCCAGTCAGTGTAAATTTGTCATGTTCCTCTATGCACTTAAAAAGACCAACACTTTTTTATGTCTCTGTAGGAAATGGGAGGCACTTCAATGAAGCAGCAAATTGAAAATTCTATTTTTAATGTCTGCTCATCAAAATCCCTATTTAGAGCCATTTTACAATGAGCATAAGTCAATTCTCTATTTGCATGGAATTTTCAGCATTTCAAAATGGTTTCATTGTCTTTGCTCCCTAGGATTACATTAATTTTAGTGTTTCAGAGTGTAAGTCCTCTTTGAATATACATAAATACACTATTACTTCATGAGATATATCTGAATTCACTGGATGAATTTGGTTACTTTTCTTTCTTTTTTTTTCCCTTTCAGGTTAACGTGCCAATTTCATTTTACTGTAAATTGGAATGTGGGGGAGTGGAATAAGCACTTGGGAGGGAGTCGAAACCAGGATTCTAGATTTATCTCCCCCTAGAGTTCTTTTTCACGCCTCCTCTTTTCTGTCTCCTCAACTGGAGTATGTGAAATACTAGGACTTGTCTTGCAGAAACGATGAAAGGAAATTTAACAGGAGTATTAAAAACATAATGCAACAGTGTCCCTATTAACATAATGGCTTGAAGAAATGGGTTTACCCTTTGGAGTGCAGCCTGGTACAGAAAACCTTCTTGGTATTCCACTCAAATTTGTTCTGTCATCTCCAAACACTGGAAAATCAGTTCTATACAGTAACTTCATTAATTATGTAATTCATCCATTCTACCAAATAAATATTGAATGAATGTACTTTTGAATAAATATATACTGGAGGAAAGAGCTAAACTTAAAATCTCTAAAACATGAACTCTTTGGCAATTCTTTGGTACATCCTATTCACTTACAACTAATTTTCTATGAATTTGTAATAAACGGTGAAAACTAAAGTGACATATTTCTGACCAAAAATTTTAAACTCAAGTTATTGAAATTGCAATTTAGATGTTTGATTATATTCATTAACAATCTCCTGCAATATGGATTCATTTTCTCTTCCAAAGAAATCTTAGCTCCTGTAAATTATGTATTCCTATAAATTAATTTTCACTCAATCAATACTTCTATCTCTATTTCAAAAGTCATATGACATTTATTAACAAATACCAAAGTTTGGTAATTGAAAATTGCTGACGTATCTATGGCTTATGTATGTCTAGAATCTATCTTTTTGGATAGGACTATCACTACTTATCATGGTTTACTTGATAGATTTGAACATTAACATTAAATAATATCTGAAGTCCTTGAGAATGTTATTTTGATGGAAATAATTTGGGCGAAATTAAATTTTGGTTGAATTAAAAGAAACATTTTATGTCTAGGAACTCACGTGTTTTAGAAACACATTTTATGCTTAGGAACGTAAATGTTATACCCATAGTATTTTAATTATCACTACTCACTGTCAATATTAATAGGGAAGGTGTCCATTTGGTAAGAATTAGAACCAAAGTCAATATAAACTAATTGTTGCATAACTTCTAATTTGATTTCTTGACAACCTTGACATTTTCTTCATGTAAAGATCATTTTTCTCCCCTCAGTATTTTGTTATGATCAAGAATATTATTATACAAAAAAATCTGTGCCTGAGTGAAATTTTATGATTTAACTATTGGCTACATCTGACTGGAGACACTTTTTTTTTGTAAATATGAACAAATTTCAAAAGATACAGCCTCATCCAAATAATTTACACTGTTCTTGAAATTATTAAGAAAATGTAAATCTGTAAAAATTGTGTTATTAGCTACATATGCTTGTATTGGCCATTCCTCACCTGAAGCCCAATTTAGTTATTGCCCATTTGGCTATCTGAACTGGCTAGAAGATAATTTTCTGTGGTCTGAATCATGTTTCATTAATTTCCCATGATTATGGGTTCAGAGCTAACATATCAATCTTTACCATACTTTTCTGCAAATATGTGCCTTAGTTCTCAGTGAGGCCTAATGTGGATGATCAGTGTGAAACTGTCACCTTGATTTGTGGGTTTTTTTAAAAATTAAATGCATTTTCAGATTTATAACTACATTTAGTCCGCATCTGAAAATCCTTCCAAGTCTATTTTATGTGCATTATCTTGTCAGCTCTGTGTGTTAAAGAGATAAATATGTCTTTGTTCATTTTTTATTTAATGTTTGTGATTCTGTCACGTGTATGTTTATGTGTGCATTAAAAAAATTCCCTATCTTCTGTAGCATTTTATTCTGAAAATTATTTATTTGAGTGTTAATATGTTATTAATATCCACTTTTCAGAGTTCTTAACCTTTAAAAGCATATTAAGTGGATTTAAGTGAATTATTATGAAGATTGGAAAGGGATTTTCTTTTGTTTGTTTGGTTGGTTTTTCCACTGTGCAACCCGCCTCAGTGCCTGAAGCCCACGAGGTAAAGGCAAGCAATGGTTTAGGGTTCCAGTTTGCTCTGGCAGGGAACACGATGAGAAGGTCATGGGATTGGACCTGCCATCAATCCAAACTCATGCTCCAGAAAGGGATATTCAAAAGAAAATTAAGCAACTGCTTAAGTAAGGCATCTGAGAGCCCAAATAACTAAACTTACCACATGGTAGTTAAGTGGGCTACACATTGGGCTGGTTAGCACTTTAAACTCACCAGGATCCCTAGAAGAGGACAAAGAGGGTGTGTGCTTATATAAAGATATACAGCCTCAGAAACCCAAAGGGCTACTGTGAGCAAGAATGACTTAATGACAGTGGTTTGATTATTTTCATCCACTATGGCATTTACATAGCATATGCAGCATAAAATTGTGCCTGAATATTTGGAAAAGTTTCTTGAAGACTATAGATAAGTATAAGTAAGCTGAAGTCTTTAAACAACAATTGCCAACAACAAAGGATTTTTAAAAATATAAATATGGTCAAAGTATTATGTGGTCAATTCCAGAATACTTGCTTCTCTGATGATGCCAACTATTGAGGGAGGCTAAGCTATTGACCTGGACCAAAAAAAAAATCAGTTATAAATCAAGTCGCAGCCTCATAACAGCCCTACAGACAAAAACGACCCTATAGGCAAAAAGTAGAACTGGCCCTATGGGTTTCTGAGACTTCCCTAGAGTAAAGAGCCTCATCTTTCCTGCAGAACCACTGGTGGTAGTTTTCAAACTGTTGACTTATCAGTTAGCAGCCCAATGCTTAACCAACTATATAACAGCTCAGTGTCATTGTTAAGCTCTGTGGACTGAACTGTGCCTCACAGTAACCCATGTGTCAGAATAGTACTGCCCTAGAGAGCCCCCTAGGCTGTAATCTTTGTGGAAACAGACTACCAGATCTTTTCCCCTTGAGCTTGAACACCCAGTTTTTGGTTAGCAGCCGTCCTGGGACTCCTTATTAATATAGTAAGAACACTGTATTCAGAAAGGCACATTAAAAACAAGCAAAAATCATAGATAAACTTTGGTGTAAAAAAGCCGACTTGCAACTGAAGGTGTCTTCAGAAACGTTTGTGTTCCTGGTTAGTATAGATTACGCAGAAAACATATACTGTGGAGATATCACACCCAAAAAAAGTAAAGAAAAAGCATTTCTGCTGAATTGATTCTGGATCCTTACTCCAAAAACTAAGCAAAATCCAGTTCTGTCCAGTTAATTGATTCATATAGATAGTCATATAGTGGGAATATGTGTCTATTTTTATTGTTATGAAATACTTAGAAGAACACATGATTTATCATTCATTCCAAACTCTGATACAGGAAAATGTATGTGTATCTCTGCTTCAGTACCAACAGATGCTTTCATTAGTAAATATTACCTTCCTTCTAGATAACACATTTGGGAAATAAAAATGTGAAGATCTGTATTCATTATTCATACAATATCATTGTATTACAACAGTGTGTTTCCCAATACAATGTCAACATTTTCACGAGTAGTTGTCATATTTATCATGTTATCCTGGGAACAGGCATGTTTTTATCTGTTCACTCTGTTTCACCCTCTTCATTTCTACAAAGTTTTATTCCTCTGGCGAGCTCTCATGCACAGATTTTACATGGCAATGGTTTTATCTTATTTCTCTTATTACTAACACTCTGAGAATGTTACCCCTGCAGAGTTCATCAAAAGCCTAGTGGGTTCTAAAATAACATGTGTTGGTGTTCTTTTAACACCTTGTCTAAATCCCCCACACCTATCTTACTGTAAACTAGTGAGCTTATATAATTTTCCCTTACACTGGTGTAGCTGGCAGAATGCCCTCTTCCAGCCCAACACTGAGCTGCAGTAACTTGCTTGAATATCTATTTTCTTTATTAATGCCTGAGATTCTTGAGGGCAGTTTATTCATCTTTGATTACTTAATATTGGTCCAAGATAATAACAATATTAACTTACTTTAAAAGTAAAAATCAATGTGCCAGGCAACTTTTTTGCACAGGGATGATAGTTTGTGAGTCAGTAATTGGGCAAGGTCACAGTATATTAAGTGATAACAATAAGTTCTAAACACATGAGTCAGAATTCATTCAGTGACAGTGGATATCTCAAGCTTGCAAATTATTCTCTCTGTCTGTCTGGGTAAACCCATCACATTAAATTATCAATTTAGGGTTATATTTTAGCAAATGTATATAGATAGCCTTGATCTGTTTCCTTACTTCCAAGCCTAAATATATAACTACCTACTGGAATTATTCTTCTTCATCATCAATCTCACTCCCTACTATCCGGTCAGTTCTGACTCATGGCTATCCTGTATGACAGGGAGGACTGCTCCTGTGGATTGCCAAGACAGCAAATCTCTATGGTCTTAGAAACCCTCATCTGTCTCTTGCAGGGGAGCTGCTGGTTGTGAACTGCTGACTTTGCAATTAACAGCCCAAGGCGTAACTCACTATGCCCCTGGGGCTCTTTTAAAACCACAGATCGCATTATTAATAATGGTGGACAATACTCACGGACAAGAACATCCATAGCAAACACTATTCTAAATATTTTTACACATGCTAATAATACAGAAATACTAAGTATACTATTGTCATCATGCTTTAATGAAATATAAGAGGGTTGAGGGAAAAGGTTGAGGGAATTATTATCTTCATTCAATTTCCCACAAATGTTTTGAAGCCCTCCCAATAAAAGCAATTGGATTCGATGGGCGTCATTTTTCCCATGTGACTCATGAGGAGTGGTCAAGGGATATGCCCTTACAGACCTACTACATGACTGCTAGTTCCTGACCTTTCTATTGTGTCTTACTCACTAGACAGAATCATACCTGTAGTATCCCAGAATTGCGATCCGAAAATGGCATGTGCTTTTGAACTGTCACATTTATTTACCATAGAATAGATTCGAGTACACTAAAATAGATTGAAACACCTCTTTCTCAATTAATTTTTCTTCTTAGTCCTAAAAAATATCAAATGAATCTTTATATCTTCTCTTTGGTAGTAAAATTGTTATCTCAATTGACTAAGCAGATACAATTTCTGCTATTTCTTTCAAGTCACTTTTATCAAAGGGAAACATTTAAAAAACACTTCAGACTAGAGGAACCTATAGAAAACCCTTTGGAAACTGCAGTGATAGATATTGAAAATAATAAGCAAAATAAAAAGGTTAAGCATTCGGTTTTGGCCTTTTTTGGAAACCCCAGTCTGTGCTTCATAAGCCTTCTGCCAGGTACTGGGTATTGCAGTTCCATGGAGCCTTCAGTCTGATGTCCCCTATCTGTCCTGCCAAACGTCGTTCCCTTTGCCACTGGAACACAGGACAGAAATCATAATAACATATACAGACAGGTACTGTATTCAAAGTCAACAAGACTTTGAGACACGCTGATTGAGATTATCAAGTAAGTATAAATAACGATTCAAGTTCATTGGCTGTCAGATATTGGCAGCTACTATTACTGCCTTCCTCTTTCTTACTTTTCTCTGTTATCCATATTTTCATGGTCTAATTCTAAACAGTCTTAATCAAAATAGGGGAAAACATTATCGGAAAAGTTCATCCTAAAATCTGGAAGAAAAGGGGAGTGGGGAATAGTAGTTTAGATTCACTGCAGTTTAAGAATTTGGTTTTCCAGTTGCAAAGAGTTGCTTTTGCATCCCACATTCCCTAATTGCATCTCTCATAGGAATATTAGCGTATCTTGTGATCACTCATTCACTAGTAAATTCTCACTCCTGCATACTTATTAAATGCCCGTTGAGCACCAGAAAAAAGGAAAAATAAAAAGATTGATGTCTATCAGTAGAAGGACACATGTAAAAAGATAATTATGCTAAAATTTAAAGAATCTTGCACTTACCAAATACTTACTGAGCTATGGTGACTGGGCACAGTTTCATGCACTAGAAAAATGGGGAGAGATAAAAGTATTCATTCTCATGTAGAATACTCTATTAAAGGGAAACTGACAATAAAGGGTAAATAAATATGTTACATGAATACTAGAGGGGTAATAAAACAAGGTGGAAAATGGAGAGTTTTAGGGGTAGTGGAAGACAGCATGTCATCCCGGAAATGTGGGCAACATTTGAGAAGAACCGTAAATAAGAACGTTTTGCAGGGACTCGGGTGAAGAGAATGACAAGCCGAGGGAATTCGAACCGCACAGGGCAAACAAATCCGCTTAGCTCCGTTTATGTTGGAGGCCAAGGGCAAGTAAATGGCTTGAACACAGCAAGCTCGGAGACAGGGATTAGAAATCGACAAGAGCCTGTACTGTCTAACAGATCATGCAGAGTTTAGGGGTCTTTGGATTTTCTTCTGCATGTGGTGGAAGCCAATGGAGAACCAGGAAGTGATAGTGATACGATGAAATTTATGTAATAAATCTGCTTGTAGTTTCAACCCCAGTTATTACTAACTGATTAGGTGCTTACTATGTGCTGATAAAGTGCAAAGCATTTATCTAGCTATCCATTCATTTATTTATTGAAATCATTTTATTGGGAGCTCTTACATAGCAATCGATAGTTTAGTTACTTCAAGCAGTATTGCACAATTGCTACCACAATCAGTTACAATATATTTCTTTCTTCTTAAACTCCTTGATATCAGCTCCCTGTTATCAGCTCCCTCCCCCATGCTACCCCCCAGGAACCCTTATTATATTATTATATTATTATAATAATGTTATTATTATATTATATAATAATGTTATATTATATTATAATAATGTTATTATTATAACAGTTTTGTTTTGCCATATCTTACAGGATCTAATGTATCCATTCACATACAATTCTGTTGTTCAATCAAGTGGGTTATAGTCATCAATGCTATCAGCTCCCTATTCCCCAGCTCCCCCCTCCCTTTTCCCTACACCTCCAGGGAACCATTATTCCTGTTACTGTTTCTGAAGGGTTTTCTCTTTGCTTTCATGTACCAAATTATTTTAAATATACAAATGAACATATGCAAATCTAACGTGATTTATGAGGTAAAACAAATAAAAACCATAATAGTAAAGAAAGAAAAAAATTAATTATTTTATTGGGGGCTCG